TTATATTTGTTTGGAAACTATTTCAACACTGAAATGCATCGGGGCCTCTAACTGAGAGCTGCATTCATTTGTCAAATGGTGCGGTAACACCAGGCTAGAAAAGGGAGGGGGGCCTTAAAATGTGATGGACATTTATCAGAAGTTTTACAGTATTCCTTTTTTTTCCCAATGCAAACATTAATTTTTATCTAAATCTGTCAACTTCATAAAATAAACGTTGACTGTTAAGTTGGAGTTTTTAGTGTTTTTAAGCTACCATCAGGTTATTTAGTTGCTTCAAGTCGCTCCCTTCTTTCTTATTCAACACTAAAAACCTCTCCAGTGATATTATGTCAAGAAATGCAAGAGACTTTACTCAGCAACCTCTAGGGCCACGAGAGATTTATACAATTTTATTTTCAGTTATGAATCTGCACCTCAGAGACCCATAAACAGACGTTCATGTGTTAAATTGATGAAGTTCCTTTTAACTGACAAATAATTGAAAAAAATATATATATTGGTATAGGACCTATAACTATTTTCGTTTGCAGATTTAAAGTCAAAATGACAGTCCTCACTTCTTGATGGAGTTGGTGATGAGCAAACTAGCGTCCTGCTTCTCATCCAGCAGCATCATGGCTCCCAGATACCCCACACGCTTCTCACTGTAGCGAGGGCTGGCTATCATCCGAACACACTCCATCTAACAGGAAGAACGACAACTCCTTTAATGTGAAGTCACTTGAAACACTCACGCTGTTAAGGCCGAGGGGGATATTTCTCCCTCATAGAGCTCAGAGAAAAGGTCAGGCGTGGGTCTTTAGCAGCAGCCCTCGCTGGACCTGGTGCTGCAGCTCCCTCCCTGTGGGATGGATTCAGTGACCCATTTCTTTTTTTTTTAAAGATATGGGTTAGTGATGCTCCAGACTTTGCCTGAGGGAATCAACCACAGTCCCTCGAGCTGTAATGACAGGGAACTCTCAACACAAGCAAACCCATGACAGGCATTAGCCAAATCCCCTCACCTGACCAAAGTGAGCAGGGTAGCCCAGCATGTGCACATAGAGAAGCTTGGCCAGGTTGTGAGATCGTCCACCGTTGTCCGATTGTCTGAACTGGGCCCGGATGGCTGCACACTCCCTCTGGATGACGCCCCGCTCCTCACACTGTGTCCTGGCTGACCTGATGGCCCGGATCATCTCCTGCAGCTGGACTGATGGAGACATGTGTGTGTGTGTGTGTGTGTGTGTGTGTGTGTGATTGAGATAGAGAGAGACAAAGGGAGAGAGAGGAGGAGGGGGGAAAGAGAGAGAGAGAGAGAGAGAGACGGTTAAACTAAAGCATTCAAAGAGACCAAACCCATTCATTGAGAAGTATAGTGTTGTGTGACTTCACTTCCTCAATCTGAAAAGGCTTCATATGCAAAGACAAAGCTGTTACTACTACTAATAATACATCTATTAAAGAGATGTACTGTCACAAAAACATACGACTACTGTTCTTATATATAAAATAAAAAGCTCATAATGCTTAAAATGCCACCCAGGTCTTGTAAAGTGACCCATGTCCATGTCTAGTGACAGATTGCTGCTGCGTTGTTTCATTCCTTAGGCTGCTTTGACAGAAAGTTGCTGTCAAATATCTGCGTCTGTGATACTTAATAACTGTGTAAAGAAACCTTTTCAGTGAACTAGTTGACAGTCAAGTTAGCACAGCACTCCTCCAGTCGACAGTACAGGTCAGTGAAATGAGTCAGGGGGGGCTAGCAAACTGACCGAGCAGAGCTAACCTTGCAGATGTCAGTGAGAGACTGTGGAGCTAAACAGCTAAAGTTAGCATGTCGGTGTGTTTACATTAACGATTCAGTCTATAAAATATCGACGTACCTCTTCACTGTACGGAGACTCCCCGGGATTTAAAAAGTCAACCGATTCAGCCGACCCCCCTCCAATACTCGGCAGTAGACAGTTGGCTGAAAATCCTGCGAATCCATGTAGTGTCAAGGTAGACGACACCACTTACACGACTTCCGGTTACACCTTTCAAAATAAATCTCTTTGGATACGCAGACTTTGGGAATACGTGTATTTCTTTAAGAGGGCATTGTTTTTAAAGAGTCTTTATATTTTCCATAATATTTGGCATTAGGATATTGTATGGTTGTTATTAAACTGTTTTTGGGTGTCGTTCCTTTCAGCTGTGCAAATTTAACTCTCCACTGAACGGTCTTAACATAAAGAAAACTATGCAGCAATTAATTTGTTTTCTTGTAGATTTAATTTATCAACCACATGGTTTTTGATATTTTGTCATATTAGCCTACATGCTACCCCAACTCCCACAGCTGCTTGGAAATAAATAGGCCCTCATTAAAGCTCCTCTGGGAAGTTTTTAAACTGGTTACGACACAGACGGACATGAAATTAAACCCTCCTTTATGAGCTTCATTAGCATACGAGAGCATCAGCATAAAGACAGACTTTCTGTGTAGTAGTTTGAATGCATGAGAATGAAACAGACATTTTTTTAACACTGCCTATAAGATTCTTAAGGAGGGTTTTTTTGTCGAAAGCAGCCTAGGCCTACAATACTTTCACATGTAAAAAACAAAGGCAAGTCTTTGTCTGAAGGGGGTCACTTGAATTGATTTTCCTCACAGGAACTTTAAATGAAAACAGGAGGGGGGCACTGGTTACTTTGTTACAGCAAGTCAGCATATGCAATGTCAGGATGCTCAAATTGAAGCGACTAGCCTAAATAAAACGCAGCTATTTTAATTGATTTACAACTGAGCTCTTCTGCCGTAAAGTATCAACTGTAAATTGTAAACTCTGAAAATGTCAAAATCTTCTGGAAGAAATACTAAATAGTTCGATTTATTTTAATTCAATTCCATATCCAACACAATTTTCTTATATGTCCTAAATGTTGTTTAGTGCTCATCAAAAGCCCTGAATCCCCACAAGGACCTTTATGTAGTCTGTATACCCCTCTTCAGAAGTCCTAATGTTAATTACATCCCTACTTTGCATTCTGTGACAGGACAACTGTGCAGTGAACAAGTTTTATATTTTGTAGAAGCCTTGACTAATTTATCTGGATTCAGGGTGCATATTATCTTTCCCAATCAGACATTTTAATCAGAACTTATCTTTTGCCAAAGACAATTACAATCACCTTATTTATTTTACCACCCTTGCACGAGTTTTAAATTATGGCTGTTTTAACACACGCAAATTCTACAAGTCAGGGAGCTTTGTTTTTGTTTGCGGAGATTCGGGCTTTTATTCTGAAGGCTTGTCCATCCACTATCCTGATGTATTTCGGGGAAAGTAACAATTGACCCGCCTAGGCTTGTCAAAGCCGACCGTGACTTCCGTAATGTGATCGCTCAGTGTACGTGGACTCCGCCCCTCCTACGTCAGGTGTTCCAGCAGGTGGATGAAACATTGATGAGGAAGTGCAGCAGGCAGCATAATACCAACACTACTGCAGCAGAGTGTATTGTGAAAGAAACTGGGCACTGGGTAAGCCAGCTAAACATAATCTAGGTGGAATAAGAAAAAAAACCTGCTGCAAGAAATTATCAATTCTAAACACAGAGGTGAATATATATATATATATATATATATCTGGCATATGTACCATGAAAACATTCAGAATTCACCATTATGGGCCTTCTGTGCATTCAAATAACCATAGCTGCTATCCTGCAAGTCTTGTCTGTTTATTTTCTAGGAAAAGCTGCTGGAGTGTATTTGAAGGCTCACAGGGAAAAATGTGGAATAAGACCAAGTTAGTAACTCAGAAACATTTCCTCTCTACAGCCAGGTCTGTCCTCTCTGAATTATTTATTGATTGATTGCATTATGCACATCAAGATATTACGCTTCCAATGACAATACAAATGCACTTCATGTTAGGAGTTCATGTGTATAAAAGCCTTTAACCTTTGGAAAAAGTCCTTTTAGTGTTATATTAGTGAGGTAATATTATAAACAACAATACACATTTTGCATATCAATAATGTTTTCCAACTGTGCTCCAAAACTAACAAACAACTAGTGCAGATAAACAAGTAGAAAAGGTTTCAATTGTAATGTAAAAACAACCAAGACTGCGGTCCATCATTGCAGTTTCAATGTTTCAAGTCAGTGTCATTTCAATCACATTTCCCCACCCTTACAAGTAAAAATCAGAGACGTCAGGATTAAGGCCGGTCAAAAACAGAGGCTGAAAGTCCAGGGATGCAGAACAAGAAGTGAGCATGTTTTCCATCTGTGCATTTTTCTTGGGGTCAAACTTAAGTGTCTTTTTTTCATCCAAACCTCGTAAGTGAATGTGAGGTAGTCTTTATGCAAATGTTCAATCATCAATCACAAATCATCAGAAACGTTTCCATCTTCACCAGCGCCGTCCGTCTTTTGAGGCCCAGGAGGCTCTGGGTTCTCGTCCATGACAGGGTAGACCACTGAGCAGAGCTTTTGGAACAGATGAGTAATTTTACCTGGATACAGTTAGAAGAGACCAGAAAAATGTATTTAGTGATTTGTGGTTCAGTTAACTTGACATTTATCCTGATAATTATACCCTTTAAACAGTCTTTTAGTGTTTTGTAAAAACTTGGGCACCTCTTATAAAAACACATTTAAACCAGCTGCAGTGCCATATGTCATGAGTCACAGTGCTGTGACTTAAGCCTGCTGTGATTGGCTCACATTTGGTTAAACACCTTTTTTTTGTAAAAGCTAGTAAAATCATACTCTAACATAATGTTTGCCTTAACCTCGAGATTAAACCCACAGAAAACTTCACCCCTAATTGTACCTTCAAAACAGAGATGGCATTCATTTGAACCATTGATTTACAAATATTCACTCCAACCAGAATAAGGCTGATAACACCAACATTGGGCTTGTGGCCTTCATCAGGGTCACACGCAGGGCCACAAGACGAAACGCGTCGGACTAATTTGTCAGTAAAGTTGATCTTCATACTACAAGTGTTGCTTGAGTATTTTGGCCATTTATACATTTCGATGTACTTAATCTCCAAATCACTGACTACTAAGCAATTTTAATTCCTGGCTCTTGAGGTTTCAAAAAGGCTGCACATTACTGTTGCAGGCTGCTATAGACCACCTTCAGCCCTCAGTGATGCACTTCCCTCTTTAATTAGAATTAAATAATATTATGTGGGTGGGTTTTAAGCACCAAAACTTCCGTTACATTTACAAAGGATCAGAGTTTGGGCTGAAATATAAAATCACTTGACTGTGGTCTTTAGGGTGAAAACAAAACCAAGCTATCTGTATCATGTGTTGTGATTTTAGGGAGTCCAATATCGTGCAATATTGTCCAATATTCCAATAGTCCAATATAGCTATGAGGCCTCTAACTTTAAATTCTAGGGATACATCTACACCCATTTGCCTTTACTTGAAATGTGAAAACTGAGCATCCGTATGCTTGAACCCACATCAGCTTGTTGCCTTACCCATCGTGATATCAAAACACTGTGGCTTGTTTTCCCAGTAGACTCCCAGGAAATACACAGGGATGCCTGTTATCATGATGGCCAGACCAGTACCGCAGACTACGGGCTCAGAGTAGAGAGAAAAGACCAGTAGGAAAGCCCAGAACAGCAGGTAGATCACTGGCCAAAATAGGCTCACCTGGAGGATGTGGGGATGGACACAGAGGTTATAATAAAATGGCATGTTGGGTTTTTAAAAAGGTCATATTAAGTTGTTCCATGTGTTTCTTTACCTTGATGGGTCGATGCAACTTGGGCTCTTTGATACGCAGCACAATCTGCCCGGCAACAGTGACGCCGTAGAAGAGGTAGTTGATGAAACCCACGTAGTTAATGAGGGTGTAAATGTCACTTGTGCACAACATCAGGAGAGTGGAGATCAACTGAATGTGGTGCGAGAGGAGAGAAGTATCATTTCTGCACAAGGTGAGCGCAGAGGTCACATATAAGCAGAAGAGCAGATGTGTTTTTGTTTAGACTTACAGTAAACAGCAACGCTGGGATGGGAGTGCAACGTTGGACGTGAATCATGGCCAGCAGACGCGGGAGATGGCCTTCCCTCGCTCCGGCGAAAAACAGCCTGAGAGACAAGAGAGGTTAAGTCATGAGAGCTGAGCCAGCTGGTGCCTGCTTGCCATGTGCACTCACCAGCCGCGAGTAACACTCAGAAAACAAATCTAATGACAGCACCAGTGAAGAGAAAAGTATACAGGTGCAAATGCTGGGTAAAAACTTGAACAAAAAACAGGAGTAAAATGGGCTCAGTGCTTTTGGATGAGCTCATTTTTGCAGGTTGAAAAGACTTCTAGAAGAATAAAGATTTAGGCTCAGCCCTTTTCACTTCAATCTGACAGAGTTAGTACCCCAAGAAATGAGCAATAACTCTACAATGTATTACTTTCCTGTAGAGATTTTAATTTACACCTTGATTACCAAGTGCAAGGTTTCAAAAGCAGCAAAGGAACAACACTCAAAACAATAAAATCAGAGCAGTCACAGAAGCTAGACGGAGAAGACAGGAAGGACAGAGTGGGTGGAGACGTGAGGGACAAACTGACCGCGATGATGTGAAGAGGGAGCCATTGACTCCCCCAAAGGTGGAGAGCGCCACAGAGATGGGCATGATCCATGACATTACTCCTAGCAATTTCTCTCCAAATGTCTGAGAGAAATATTAGGAGTAGAGATAGAGAAGAAAACATGAACACTTGAATAACAGCAAGCTAATCAGGACATCTTTAAAAGGAGCGTAAAAGGCCGACAGATTGAACATGCCTCAGATCAATGATGTTACTCTAGATGGCTGCTGCAAAGACGCTACTACTTTTAGAGAATAATAAGCTTATAAGACACTTTCTTTTCATGCATAATCACACATATTCTTTGTTTTCTCACCACTGCCACAGCATTTGATGCCAGCAGCTCCTGCGGGCTCATGGCAGTGACGTAGGCCACGTTGGCAAACACGTAAACAAAGGTCACCACAGGGATAGAGATGAAAATAGCACGTGGTAGATTTCTGTGTGGGTGAAAGAAAGATCGCAGTTCATTGTATGTAAATTCTTTCTGTGACAGAGGTTTGATGTACCAAAAGAAAAACAGCAATAAACTTTGAATAACTACTCAGAAAATCAATTGTTAACATTTATGGTATCCCTCAGGGATCAATTTGTGGACATTTTTTGTTGTCAATATACTTTAATGACTTAGTTACAGCATCATCATATATGTTTTTATCCTGTTTTCTGTGACGTTTTGGTTCTTTTTATACAAACATTTGACACTTACGGGACAAGCACAGCTAAGCTGAGGGCAGAATATTAGAGACGCACGTGGAAGCAAATAAGCCAGAACTAATTGAATTGTTTTAGAGCGCACAGCATTAAGTGGACATCGTGTATATCAATATTTTATTCTGGTAAAAGTGTGTGATTATAATAGTGTATATAAATATTTTATTCTGGTAAAAGTGTGTGATTTTTCTGGTACCAATAAAAACAATTTTTTTGTTGAAAACAAATTTAGCTGTCCACATGCAACGCACGACTTGTTACTGAGATAGCTCATTATTTAAGTCTGAAAAAGGAGCTTCCAGTGACGCAAAATGATGATTTTTGCGTCAATGGAAGCTGTTGCGGTTAGCAGGGTGAAACTACAACGCTAGTTCCTCATATTTTCGACCACTGAAGCTACAGACCAATCACAGATCAGTGGGTGGGAACTCACTCCCAGAATCGGAACTAAATGTCTGCCATATTGCTTAGAAGTTATGCTAACAGGCTCTATGGAGAAAGCTGGTAATGGCGGAAAAAATATAAATATACCGGCGAGACGGCTGCTGTCGACAGGCCGGTCTTGTGTTTTGGCTACTGTGGCTGCCAGGCGCTGGCCGCCACAAGCCTGGCTCGAGCTGGGGCGGACTGGTAGTGTCGGTGCTCTCACTGTTTGCCTATGGACACAGACATAGAGTCTGTTGTCTGCCAAGAATTTCCAAGATCAATTCTGGAAGAAATCTCTGAATCTATTGAGGAAATGGCCTCATGTGTTGAAGTAAATATGTCTGTAAATGTTTTTATTACTATATTTCTACTGCTATATCTTATATTTTGGAGAAACTGTATCGATTGAATTTCCCTCTGGGATTAATCAAGTATTTCTGATTCTGATTCTGAACTAGCGGACCTTAGTGGGAGTGGCCTGCAGTGCTGTGCATTCTGGGATTTGGTGTCTTTCATTAACATGAGCCAAAAAGACAATTTCTGACTTTTCTCAGTCAAGAAGGCACCAACTTCAAAATGTATTTCACATATATGACCCAATGTCAATACAGATTCATGTTTCAACGGGTGAAGTATCACTTACAAAAAAAATAATTAAAAAAAATTGTGCTTGTGTTACCTGTACGGGTCAACCAACTCTTCTGTGACATAGTTGAGGAAGTTCCAGCCTCCATAAGCAAAGGAGCCTTGTAGGAAGGACAGAGCTATATGACCAACATTGTACTCTTTGAAGGTCTCGAAGGCATGGACGGGCTCCAACCAGTAGTAGTGGCCTATGATCCAAAAAACAACACAAATAAAAACTCAGATATGCAATGAAGTGTAACCCAAGCTGTGCAGCAGACAACAATGCTTTTAATGTTGTTGTTTTTTTTACAGGCTTTAAACATGATCATTATGATGATTATCTGTGACCTGCTGCCTTGTCACTAAAGATGCAGAGTATGTGTTGCTAAGTATGTGTTCACTATGCATTTCATCAACAAAGAAATCTCTCCTTGTCCATTCAGAGACAGGTGATGTTCTGTCTGTTATGTTTTAGAAAGTATTAAATTAGCTGAAATCAAAGGCTCTTTATTCAGTCAACTCTACACACTGATTTAGCCCAGTTTTATCACCTTTAGAATTTAGCCCAATTCATACTCTCTCACAATCCAAAACAGATTACATAAAGCTGAGATATATATGCTGTGTGGGCACAGTGTGCATGTTGTAAATTAAGTGCTGCCTCTTTAAAAACAGGTTTCCTCTATTTTAGTGTTATGAAGAAGTCATTTTCAAATTGGGGTTCAGTTAAAATGGAGGAGTCGTGATATGATGGAGGGAGGGAGCAAACCTTACCTTTGCATATTTGGACCAAACCCATGATTATGATGAGGCCCAGAGCCAAAAGCTTGCCCCCAGTGAAGACATCTTGGACACATGTCGCCCAGCGCACGCTGTGGCAGTTCACCCACGTCAAAAACACTAAAAGGAGCGAAAAATTAATTACTGCAATGGTAGTATCTCTGGGTAGAGGAAAGGATACTCTAGCCCCATGTATAAATTATACACGTAATTCCTTTAAATAGTACGGTTTAATCTGCAATTTTGAAACGCAATGCAATTGAAAGGTTTGGAATGACTCATCCTAAGGACCAAGCCAATAAACATCACTCTGCACAGAGAGAAAATTTTATTGCAATAGTATGACATAGGCCAGTGTCCAGACAAGTTTCAACTTCAGGAATTCCAACTGGGGGTAAATGCAGGAGAGTAACAGTTGTGTGAATAATATTTAAAAGCCTCCAATATAAAGGATTCTATTCATGGGTTTGTGCTGACCTACTCAAGCATAGATGAGAGGGAGGCAAGGATGTAGTATATTCGGAAAAGTATTTTGGAATGGATTTTTAAAGAAGTCCAAATGATGCTTTGCCTGAGTGCAACTTAATGGATAAATCAAACCCAGGGGAATATGTCTCAGGAAAACATGAGATAAACCTGCAATTTCAACAGCATTTGTATGACTGTATGGGGATGCACCAATGTATCGGCTGAACATCAGTATCAGCCCTATTGACAGACATCTGCCCATCAACAAATATTATGCCATGCACCAAAGTCAAGCTGGTTGTGTATCAGTTGTTTCGCATCAAAGTAACGCTGGAAAGCTAGTGTACCCAACTGCTGATTACAAGAAGATCTTTTTTATTTGGCCGAGGAAGTCCTCTGTTGGATAGTCTGATTTGTTTTAAACATAAAGGTCCTACCCGAAGTCCACAAATTCTCCTGCACAGAGCAATGCAAAAAAATTGTGCATACATACTTAAGTTTGTAAATGTTTATCTGCCTGTAGGTTTACATATTGAGCCTCCTTCATATACAGAAAAGACATGTACAAGTGTAACAGAGTTCAAATGCACTTTATTTTTGAGAACAAGAAAAGAAAGACTGGTGTTTTGGTGCACTGCTCCGAGAACTTCACTCATTGAGTGCTAAAGTTTTTCTAAATAACTATATCATAAAAGGAAAATGTGTCCTTAAGTACTAAAAGAAATCAGATTTTAAAATAACAATGCCACTTTAAATATAAGGACAAAAAAAACACTGCCTTTGAACAACTATGTACAGAAAGGCCACATAACTTTCATAATGAAAAAAAAAAAAATGAAAAAAGGGATACACAAAAAGGAAAAAAGAAGTCCCAGGTTCAGACTCTCCTGGCTGCAGCCCTGTACAGGAAGGCGTCCATCCCGCCATGTGCCCGTTCATTGGCCTGTCATGCAATGGCTTCTCCGGATTCCCTGGCCGCTTGTTCGGCTGCCCGGCGCCCTGCCCTTACCCCCATGTCGTAGATTTGGCGGACCAGGACCTCCCTCCCGCCTCCTGTCAACAGATCACCTGCACGCGGGTTAAACTCTGAGGTAAATCCTCTCATGAACTGCACCAAGTTTGGGAACTTGCCTGCCTGAAACAGGGTTGCTTGTGGGAGCTCAAGAAACCTCACATAGGGGCCATACTCCTCCAGCGAGACATGCGCAGAGCAGGCCTCCTTGAACTTAAAAAGGTCACTGTTGAAAAGTGGGCAAGTGAGCTCACGCAGTCGAGTCACGATCAGGACGTCTCTTATTAGAAGAAACATGGCAATCCCGGCATCCTGCATGTACTCAGACAGGTATACAACCACCTTCATCCATGGCTCGGTGGGTTCGAGTTTTATCCTCAGGGATAAATCAACAATTACCCATCGGACCGTCATTTGTCCTCGGATCAACTGTGCAAGAATGGTCATCATTCTCCTGCTCAATCGGTAACAAGGATCAATATCCGCTGAAGTTCTCTTCGCGAATTCGAGTTAGCACGTTGTCAACGGCTGAGTTGTAACATGAGACGGCCTTCGCGGCCAGCGCATAGACATAAGCGCACAGGGACGTGAGAATGATGTGCGGGTTGGCTCTTTGATGATCAAAGGTGTTGGGGTCACGGATGCTTTCCAGGCGTCTTTGGTGAAATGCGGCAACAGCCTGGGTTGTGGCCTGCCTTATAGGGCGGGCAAGTGGGTTGTAGTTGTCCGCAACGGCTAGCACACCGTTTTGAATCACCATGGGATAAGGAGTGGACGGGCATCCCATCCGGTTGCTTACTGCTCTAAGGAAATCATCTGCTTTGGAGACTCCTATTGTCAGTAGTGCACTCAATAGTGCGCCACTCGCCTCCGCTTCTGTTACCGGCAGGTATAAAAGGGCTTCTACGGCAATAACTAACGCACGAGTTAGTTCAATGTTGTCCCGATACTCGGGCGCAACGTAAAGAAGGGCCCTCTCCCTGACACGGAACACTGTTGTAGAAAAATCACCCTCCCTTGTAAGTCTCCTGTTTGCGGTCGAAAGCAAAACCAGCTGGTACAGTGTTGGAGTTGGACTGATAGACATGGTTGTTGTTTGAGAGGTAATAAGTGATGAGGAGACGTAGACATCCAGTATTGTATTTAGTCTGTAACAAAAAAAAGGTAAACAAATTAAGGCTATAGTACAAAGATTGATTAGTAAACAAACAATCATTTCTAACATAAATATATTCATTAGAATTATTAGAGTACAACAAATATAAATGGCAGAAATTAGCTCTTTAGGTAAATTAACTACTCCACATAAACTTTACCGCCTAGGTTTAAAAGTAACAGTGGCGCCATCTGCTGGTAAACAAGGGGTTATACAATATGGCGTCCATAAACAGACTTATCGTCAACACGTGGCTGCATCCGAATTGCCAAGTACCTACTCAATCTCTCAGTAGTCAGTAGACAGTACCTACTATCCGTGCTGTATACTGTTTAGTACCTTTAGTACCATTGTTTCATTCCTTAGGCTGCTTTGACAGAAAGTTGCTGTCAAATATCTGCGTCTGTGATACTTAATAACTGTGTAAAGAAACCTTTCAGTGAACTAGTTGACAGTCAAGTTAGCACAGCACTCCTCCAGTCGACAGTACAGGTCAGTGAAATGAGTCAGGGGGGGCTAGCAAACTGACCGAGCAGAGCTAACCTTGCAGATGTCAGTGAGAGACTGTGGAGCTAAACAGCTAAAGTTAGCATGTTGTTGTGTTTACATTAACGATTCAGTCTATAAAATATCGACGTACCTCTTCACTGTACGGAGACTCCCCGGGATTTAAAAAGTCAACCGATTCAGCCGACCCCCCTCCAATACTCGGCAGTAGACAGTTGGCTGAAAATCCTGCGAATCCATGTAGTGTCAAGGTAGACACACCACTTACACACTTCCGGTTACACCTGAAATTTAACTCTCCACTGAATGGTCTTATTTTAATTTATCAACCACATGGTTTTTGATATTTTGTCATATTAGCCTACATAAATATCCAAATGCTACCCCAACTCCCACAGCTGCTTGGAAATAAATAGGCCCTCATTAAAGCTCCTCTGGGAAGTTTTTAAACTGGTTACGAGGCAAATTGAATGTTCTTTTGTCTTCTGCAGGTATGTTTTTCTTATTTTCTGTTTCGTTTTATAGCCGCATGTTGTCGCTTATTTTTTCCACTAGGTGTCACTGTTTTACCATTTGGTATACTGTTTTAAAGATTTATTGTATACACTGTAAAACTGAAGTTTTTCAGCCATTTGAAGCAGCTCTTGGTTATAAATATGTACATGTAGTTAAAATACTGTAATGATGATTGTAATGTACGTCTATGTAATATAAATGTGTTATGAGCTCTGACAATGCCGTTTTGCATTGCTGAGGGAGCAGAGGTGCAGAAAACAAATGTCCAGAAGGCAAATTGAAAATCTTTGTCTTCTGCAGGAGAAAATAAAAACTGGAAAACAGTTAAAGTCCGGTTTTCTTCACTCCCCTGACCACATCTGTTAAACAAGCTGTGTGAAAAGCTCAACACAGCACAAAACAGTCCTTCGTACTCGAAAACATTTCATCTGCCACCTATGGGCGGGGCTTTCTCCGACAAAAGAGAACCCCTTACGAGGGATAAACGATGAATGAGGAAAGACTGAAAACAAGGCCTTATATTACCCAATGCCTGATATTAAACTTCAAAGTTGGTTACCCGTGATCTGTATCTGTAAATGCAAACCTTAAACATTAAACCAACAACCATTTAATCCTCAGTTTTATTAAATGACTCACGCAGGCAGACAGCAGCCAGCAGGCGGAGGCCGTTCTCTGGGGGGAGGCAGGAGGGGAAGAGCGGCTGCAGGATGTAGTTGGAGAAGGTGAGAGCGATTACAGCCTGGCTAGTCGGGTAGATAACCAACACTGCTATCCATAGCCGAAGAAAACTGAGGGACAACACAGAGGGGCGTTCAATGAGCCGTGAAACAGACCTGTGTCACACACATTTTCAAAACAACAGTGTGTGAGAATACCATCCCTTATTACAGTTAAATGTAATGGAAAAACAAAGGCTAATAGACATATTAGACAAGTGCATTATAGGAATGCACTGGAGCATTGTTTTTAAAGACAAGAGGATTGCCTAGAACTGGGTCAGCAACGTTGTGGGATGCTGGGAGTACATTAAAGAGGCTTTAATTACATGGTGAGCTGGTGCTGGAGGCGGAGGGAGGGGGTGGAGGTCTACTGAATATTCTCATTAATTACAAAAGGCTCGATGCAATATTGTAATGTACATTACAAGTTCTTTCATGCATCATTTGACATAATACTGCTGCAAGAACAATGGACTGGGGCAAAGCTTTATCATACAGGAACCCATGTAATGTCTGTAAAATCCATTGTGTAGATAATCATGTCATTTTTAGACGGTTACAAAAAGGACTGAGGTTTTTGTTCATGGAGAATTGCAATCCCAGTTAAAAACTGGCTAAGTCTGTATTTTACCAACCAAGCCATGTTTAACAATTCACAATAAATATGATTTACATTCAGCCTTTTCAGGAAGATTATACAGTTTCCTACCTCACCGATCCGTATGCTATATACCTGCAGTTTTTGCAGATATTTTTTGTCTATTTGGAGCAGTTAAAGCTTGGATTTATGTTTCAACAAACTAACTACAAAACAACAATGCAATGAGAGAAGAAAAAAATACCCCAAAATTTATGAGCATGGGGGTGCAAGATCTTCAAGGCTCAAAAGCGTCTCCATTTTTAAAAAGTTTTGAGGTGAACAGAGCTTTGGATATACTATTTAACAAAACCTTTACTTAGAGTGTACAGACTGTCTATTCAGTGCTTGATGCAAGTGTCTGTCAAAATCAAGAACAAACTGAAAAGCTTTGTTCAACTGTGTAGCAAGATAACCAGGTCACCCATGCACTTCACTTCTTTGGCATTTAATTCTTTCGCCTATGAGATGGTCTGCAAGAGGCCTCACATGCTGCAGGCCTCGCAGAACGCTGAGGGGTGTCCAGGGATGGCAGGGTACAAGTCTTTGTTCTTGTTAGACTGGTTTCAAATCTATCACGTGATTAGCAGAAGACCTTTAGGGCACTCTGCAGACTTATCCTGGGATTACACCAACATACGAGTACCTCATGAGCTGAAACTTTTCCCACATTGTTTATGTTTATAATCGGAATCCAGAATTGTAACACTACATGTACGTTTTAAATTGGGCTCAGCATAATTGGTCAACTTTAGTTGTGGCCTCGATTCCCTTAATCTTTGCTTGATAATCACATATTTTTTATGCTCACCCTGCCAGTCCTCCAAAGATGTCCTTTACGTATGAGTAGTCTCCTCCTGACTTTGGAATGGTGACACCCAACTCTGCATAGCAGAGAGCACCGATGGCTGTGATGGCTCCTGTGCTGACCCACACAATTATGGCAACGCCCACTGAGCTGGCATTTTCCAGGACCCCCTTTGGACTCACAAAAATTCCAGATCCAATGATGTTGCCTGAGGAAATAAAATAAAAAAGCCCAGAAAGACCAATTCAGAAACTTCTGGCATCCTTTTAAAATGCACAAAAACCACAATTGTTGATATTCTGCATATTCACAGGGAGACAAAAACAGTCTGAAAACAAGCTCAAAGCGTCTACTACAAGTGCAGGCACAAAGGAAAAGATACAATTTCCTGCTACAAGCTGCCCCTTTCCTTGAGTGCTCCTGTTTACAGTTTCCAATCATAAAATTAACTTGAGCTTTATGTGGATTTGTTGGTCAGCCCCTGTGGGAAAACTGTTGGCTTCTTTGAAATCTTCAGTTCAAGGCAAATAAAATTAAACTTAGACATGCATGCCAGCTGTGTTTGGACTTTAAATCTGAGGTGTTTGAACACAGTGCAAAGCTTTCACATATTTTTTTTGCAACAGACAGTTACTTATTTTTATTTGCAGCCTTTTCTAGCAGAAAGATGTCTGAGCCATCTTTTTGAATGCCTGAAGAGATGGCAGAATGAGTTCATATGTTGTGCCTGCAGGGACCAGCACAAAGCAACAAAGTCTGAATAGAAATACAGATCGTTTCTCTACTACAAAAACATCCACAGTGTAGATTTCAGTAGCTGGGAATATGTGAGAAAAGGCAGAGGGGCTCATTTAACTTGCTGTTGTATGAAGTTTGAATAAAATAAAAACACTGTACCTGTGATGGCAACAGTTTTCAATTACTGGTTGTACGGTGGAGATAGTTATTTTGCAACAGTGACAAATAGACTGCTTTGCAAATTCTGGCTCAACATGGCCAGGGGTACAGAGAGGGTCAGGCAGTTTGTCTCTTATTGATTCATTTCAGTTCATCTAATATCTTCATTTTTAATGTTTGTGTCATAGATTTAGAACCATTTACCAAGTATTCGTAAGAAAGAATTAGAGCAAGGTGTAAGACATTTGTACAGGTTTTTTTTTACTCATTTGAAAATGTAGAAATGATATGAGCCTGAACACGACGGTATAGCTACTTCTTAGCAAGAACCAGGATCAAACAAGGCATGGTATTATAATACAGCAGATAGATTTGTCTGGAAAACGGTGGATACTCAGCCATTTGTAGGATTGCGTGTTTATTTTTTATATAGGGGAAGGAAGAGAATAAGACCGACCTGACGGGGTGAGCATAGACAGGCTCCTTGATGTGTGGAGAGACCTAGCATTGAGGTGGGTGGCTCCAGGTCACCACAGCAAACGGTTCAGCCTCCCCCCAAGGTGTCGTGGGCCTAACTTAAAGCAACAACAGCGAGGGGAGGTGCTCACTTGATAACCCTGTTTATGTCCTGGCTCTCGATACCCATCTATTTATCTGGTGGGGGGCATCAGGGGCCATGTTGTAGAAGTATTGGGGTTGTCACTACCTGGCTAGCACACAAATGAGCCTGAGTCTGTCTAAAGCGGCAATACTTATTTTGTTGTGGTGGCCACAAGGGGCCATGTGGTAGTTTATGTGAATGATCATTAGGGCATGAGGGCATGGGATGGTTTTCATCAATAAGCGCTATTTTTCCCATTAAGTGTTTAATTCCAACCTGTATTCAGTGAGCCTGTAAGACAAGTGTATAGGGTGTAGCATGTCTCCAGATCATACAGCAATGCAGACACATGAAATACTCAACTCAAATGATTATGAGATGGACTTTTATAATAAATGTTTGCATACGAGTGATGGGATAAAACCACATGGGTGCACTTACCGATTATAATGCCACAAGCGCTGACTAAGCCGATCCGTTTCTTCAGAGCCACCCCGGATCCTCCTGCATCTTCACTCGTACAAGACAGAGGGTCTCGGGACTCCAACTGATCTCCCCCACCGGTGCTGCTGCTCCTCTTCCTCGGGCCCTTCGTCATCCTGCAGACCTGTCCAGTGTGTCCCCCTCTTTAAAGTCCGGGTACCTGTGGTACGCCCAACTTACCCAATCATTAAAACATAAATTAAGTAGGCTATTAAATCGGAATTGTTTAAAGTTCTGCGTTTCTTTCCCACCATACACGTGCTGACTAATTCCCCTCCTGCCCATTAAATGGAAAGCAATGCCGGTGGCAGTGGTTTCTATCTTTAGTCGACTACAGTGGAGCTAAAATTAGAAACACCACATTAATAATTCAGAGTGCACACAAACAGAGGTCCAGGCGGAGACTTCAGCTAAAAAGGGGTTATGCTACGGCTATAAGATGAACAGACTTTTAAATGAATGCAGTTTGTTAAGCAACATAAGGATACTGTAAACTTATAAATGTTACCAGGGTGAAGATAGTTTCATATTTGACATTCCCCTGTTTTCGCATCGATTACCTTCAATAGCTCAGAGTCAAAGCCTCGATTTCTCACAGTTTGGGGATATGTTGGAGAGCAGATTAAGACAGACGTTTTACAGTTTTGATAAACTTCAAATAACCAAAAATGACGATGCAGCTGGGAGCGCAAAGAACTGAATGTCTGTCCAATAGGTGACTATAGGCGGAGTTAGGGACCGTCGTAAAAGTGCAATATGGCTCATTTCAATATCTTCTTTGTTTTTCAACATAGACATCTCAATCCACTGCTGTTATAGAAGGTGACAGACATTAACATTTCACACCAATGAATACAAAATAAAACTTACTCTGCAAATCATCATTATCAATGACATATTGCCTTAACACTAGAACCGCCAAACATATCTGAAAGACGGTTTGGGTTTTTATAATACAAATAACTCTTTTAAATAAAAACTACGAGCCTCTCATCCTATGACTTTTCTTAAATATGTGTCCTGTATGTTTTCTGAAGCCTATGTGTAACTAAAATAAAACACACAAGATTTCTGAGCATTTATACCTCTAACCGCCACCGTCGTCATATTGACGGCAGTTGAAAATGATACATTTCCCTGGATTGTTATTGCACGTCGTTTTATTTTTTATTAGTTATTATTTCTATTTATAGACTTCATATATATGCGCGACAGACAGATATACAGACAGATAGATACATGCTCATTCTTGAGCTGGCAAAGGAACAGAGAGAGAAACACCTGTGTGTCAAGACCAGTCTGACGTCGGTGCCCACTGAGCCACAGCATCCACAAGAGCTGAGAAGGAGGCAGTGTCAGACAAACACGCACTGCAAGAAAAATATGACCGTCGTCTCCTGCGAGGGGTTCAAGCACCCTGTGAGTGGAAAGTGCACCGTAAAGGTTGAGCACTTTTGCCGCAGGTTTGTGCATTACGTGCCGCGGCGCTGTCCAAGGTGCCGATGGTTCATTTGTTCATCTGTTTGTTTGTTCGCCGCTGCATCTGTTATGGATTTCTGCAGTTCTTTTTGTAGGCTATATATGTGTTTGCCATACCCATAGATAGCCGTGTTTTTGTTGTTGTTTTTTGGCGTGCGTGTGTTGGTCAATGATTTCCTCCATGTCGGGGAAACAAACCCATTTGCAGAGAGGAGGAGGAGCATCAGTGTTTATCTCTTTTTTTTGCAGTGTTTTCATTAAAATGCATAGCCTAATATAGCCAACAATATAATAGACTAAATGTTATGTATGTTTCATTATTGTAGAATGTGTTTTAGCAACGGGAGACGTGGAGCAGCAGTAAAAAACGGAGCACTAAAAAAGCCGACAGACATTGTAAATTGACATGGGACATTTAAAAGGTTACCAATCCTGCCTTATGATAATAATAACTTTATTTATATAGCACTTTTTAAAAACACAGGTTTACAAAGTGCTTTGACAAACAGCAAGAACAAAGCAAACTAAACCTAAATGATGATAGTCTATTTGGTTTATAGATAAAAGTAAGTTGTATTTAACTTCATCAAAGAAACTCAAAGAAACGCATTATTTGTGTGCTTCTGAGCACAAACAATTACATTTGCATATGCCGTCTGACAGACGGCTGCGGCGCTCGGAGGGGGGTCTAGAATGTTTGCGGTCCTAGTGTCCGAGCACATTTCAAGGTTATAATCTCAATAGATTTCTCATTTTTGATTTTATTGACATCAAATCACCTCTCATGTGTCCCAAACATCCTCTCACAACTTTCACAGCTCATAGTTTGTGAAGCAGGCCATTAAAAAATGCCTTAATACCATTATCAAGGGCCTGTTGCTTTAAATGTGCAATTTTCAAGGTTGGAATGGAAAATTAATATTCAATGAATGTGTACTGGTTCCCTGTTGACACACACTCCTTGAAGAAATGTTGTGTCTGTCTGTGTGACCTAGATGATTGTACCCCAGACGATGAGTGACTATCAGTGCTATGAGACTATGAGTGCTCTGTTGGATTGAGAGCTTGTGACTGACAGTCACAGTATGTGGTTTATGGATTTATACTTAAAGGGATACTTCACCCATTTGCATTAAGCTTTGTATCATTAGAAACCTGGTAGTATTTTTGAATGGTCGTGCATCCTGCCCTCATTTCCCCTGAGATGGGAAATCTTTGTATTGCTAAGTCTGAAAAGGAGCTTCCAGTGACACAAAATGACGTTTTTTGCGTCACCGCCAGGACCGCCGCGACACAAGACCCAAGTTGCCAGGCTATCATTGTACCTCTATCTTTGTGTATACTTCGTCTGAGTTTGCCTGATTCAGACTCTTACTCTTCACAATCAGAATCTGGTGCAGTCACCAATCTTCTGTGGTTCAAAAAGTACGGAGTTAATGTTTTTTTTTTTTTTTCTACAATATGTAGCAATGCATTATCTCTGGAGCATTATCTCTATAACTCAAAATAAATTAAATAAAACATATTTTCTTGATACTTATTTCTGCATTATTATTTATTGAAAGTTAATGATTGATAATATTGTAATTCTCTGAAAAATATACTTTTACTTTTTGTCTTGGCTCCATTGACAAACTTGTAACCAATAATGCATCTAAGGAAAAAAGTAATGCAACTAGACATTGGAAAAGATGTGAGAACTCATGGATGAAAGTAGATACAAGATTGAAAAGATAAGAGTTTTTTAGAAAGTGGGTTAAGGTGGTTTGAAACATTTAAGGTCTTTTTGAGAAACCAACAGCTGTGAAAGTTGTGAGAGGATGTCCAAGACACATGAGAGGTGATTTGATGTCAATAAAATCAAAATGAGAACCTTGAAATGTGCTTATTTAAGGCAATATGTCATTGATAATGATGATTTGCAGAGTTATTCTTATTGTGTATTAATTGATGTGAAATGTTAAGGGCTGTCACCTTCTATAACAGCAGTGGATTGAGATGTCTATGTTGAAAAACAAAGAAGATATTGAATATTGATCCCTAACTCCGCCTATAGTCACCTATTGGACAGACATTCAGTTCTTTGCGCTCCCAGCTGCATCGTCATCTTTGGTTATTTGAAGTTTGTCAAAACTGTAAAACGTCTGTCTTAATCTGCTCTCCAACATATCCCCAAACTGTGAGAAATCGAGGCTTTGACTCTGAGCTATTGAAGGTAATCGACGCGAAAACAGGCGAATGTCAAATATGAAACCATCTTCACCCCGGTGTAAAAGTTTCCTCCGCGTGTATCAAACAATTATCCTATCAGCACTACGCTCCCGGTAGGCAACTCGTTTCTTTGGTTTAACTTTAAAAAAATAAGAAGTCATAACGTGATGACCCACCTTCTCGGTCAGCTGCAGTAACTTGTAAAACGTCAGAAATCTTCGTGTTATGTGACGGACTTCATGTTCGGCGTTGTTCCTGATTGCTGGCCGTGATGAGGAGCGGGGTAACAATAGACTTCCAGCTGACAGCCTCGATAAATAGAAAAGCTGGTTATTTTCAGCCAATCAGTGCAGGCTTAATTATCAACTCCGGATCAGGCCCCGCCCACTGAGACCCATTGACAAAATTTACAACCTGAATAAATAAGCTTGATAATCTTATTACAAACTGAAAATGTATTTTAAAAAATAAATATATCGAAAGAATGAACATTTTGTCAGCAGAACAACCTTTTCTAATTGAGGGTATACCGTCAGTTTTATAGTTTAACATGTTAAAGCTAATAATTCTTGTTTTATTTTAATACAGATTTTTTGGGGGATGTTTAAAATAAACAATAATAAAGGTATTTATTGGGTTGGTTTCAGGCAGTATGATGTCAACAACTTATCTGCATAATTTGCCAACTTCACACCTAGGACCACACATGGATTTAGTCCAGTCCTCCTCGACCACTCCTCAAAAAGTTCACAAAAGCTTAACCGATAATTATCTGAAAGCTGCATGTGGACATCTCAATATAGTATAACAGAAAAAATTACATGATTGTCAATTTAAAACAATTGTCAAATAACTGTAAGTAATTGCTTAAAATGATCAAGATTTCATGTTAAGTTTATACAGGCAAAATCCTCTTTTGACCTCAGTTGTGTCGTCTTCAGCAAACGTTACTCGTTAGATATGTGCAATAGGTGTCTGCAACATGATAAGAGCAGACAGGACGTGCGCCTGGGCCAACACTCAGACTTCTAAGGAGAGGTTTCAAGAGAGACTGTGTGAATGAGGGGTAAACAATAGATTGGTGTCAGGAGGTTAAGTGTGTGATTTGATCTTGACAGCTCATGAGATTTGTTTTTTTTAATCAGTTTCTTTTGTTGGAGATCCTTACTCTTTGCTGCTGTAACGCTGTACATTTCTCCGTTGTAGGATGAATAAAGGTTTATCTTATTGATGCAGACTCACTTGTACGATACAATGTTGTGTCCAGCATGGTGGGATTTTTGTTTTTTATATTTGACAGGTTTGTCAGGGATAGTTCTTAAGGTCCACATGACGTGAGAAAATAAAAGCATTTTAATAGTTTAAAAGAAACTGGCCTTAGAGTTAATCCCCTTTTTTTTATGCCTCCTTGTATCCCACTCCAGAGAGCACATAAATCCTACATTCATCCTCAGACCAGCCTGCACTCCTTCCTAATTTTTGAGGGAGAATTTCTATTTACAGTAAAATATTTGCAATAAAACCAAACACATCTAAACGTGACACCCATCAGTATCAGTGGTTCCTCTATTGGTTTAAATACATTAGTCAGTGTAGTGTAGGCTTTGAAGCCTGCGAGTGTTGATTACTTGTCCTCTAACACGTTGACATCTGGAGTGACATCTACTGGACAACTTCATCATTTCAGCTGAAGTTGCAATCTCACTTGTATAATTTTAATTCAAACACTTCAGTTGTCAGTTTGAAGTTGGTGCATGATTAAAGTCATATATATTTTAAAACGTTCTCATTTTGATTCCCAAAAACCCTCCAAGCACATGGATAACATTACAGGGTTGTCTTTATTGACATGGTTCAAACATACAGCAACAGAATAACAGAAGGTATGATTTAGATAAACCTTTTAGCATGTGACCTGAACTGCATAACTTTCCTCTGATCCACTTTGTGTCAGGAGAGGGGCATTTCATGTGTGTGTGTGTGTGTGCATCGTATGGAATGTGTGTTTGACAAGGCAAAGGTCCGGTAGGATTGAGTGTGAATTTTCTAAGACGACCAGAAGAAAAGGAGAAAACAGACTGTAAAAAACAAAAAGAAAAGAAAGGAACAGTGGCGCATTTGACATTAACTCTCACAGCAACGATACACTTCGTGTACAGGATAAAGTCCACGTCTGCTGAAACAGACCTCTCAAAAACACACACCGTGATATCTGGTTTATCCCATTAACCTTTCACTGCCAGCTCAAAAGTGCCCACCGCTGGGCTTTTTTTTTTTTTAAACCCAGGTTACACTCTTGTGTATGTAAAGAGCCACCTTCACTTTAACTGCCACCGGGTCTTACAGTAACGTGTGTGTTCCTGCCTACGCGTGTTTTGATGCGTCGTCTTCACAGGCCGATGGTGTAGGAGCGTCCTGCTGGATTGTGGATGGCAGAGCAGGAGGGCTCGGTCACGGCCCACTCATACCACACCTTCTTCCCGTTGTTGCAGCGCCAGAACCGCACTGTGACATAATCATCCCGGGATATGGAGATGGGTTGCTGTTGAGAACAATTATATGCACAGGGAGGATTAATACGCAAATTACCATTTTGGTTAAAGCCTGTACATATCATAGTCAAGAGGTTCAATATGCGTCCCCAAAAACCTAGCAGACATACTAAGCAACTCATTCTGCTGTTTAGAACATTTCTCAAGACTGATGGAACTAACCTTACACTTCGACTGACATATCCATTGTTATGATTGATCTCCCCCTGACTTCACACAACTATTGGTGTTTTGAAACATCACTAGCCAGTTAGCCCGTCTATGTACAGTTGGATACTAAGGCGAAGAGGAAGAGGACAGGGATGAATGATGCTAAGAGAAAATGTGACCAAGTAAGAAGCAGTGTCATCCCTGCAGATATTATTCAGATTGTGACGCAACATTAGGTTATATCAACCAAGCTGCCCATATTGCCACCCTGTACCATATGATTGAGTTTAGTGGATCAGAAGAACATGCAACATTTGCTCAAATACCCTCTTTTTTTTTTTTAAAGCCATGAAAACAATGCTTAATGCTATTTTTTTTTTTTAAACTAGTGCCTTATAATTACCAAACTAAACTCCCCTCTTCTAATCTTAACAGGTGGCAGAAATATTAAACTGCACTAACTAAACTCCTGCATCAGAGACAACTGCAGTCCATACTCTACACATGACATCGATACCTGGTCCAATAACAACATTTATGTTCTGTGTAAAATGACAAACAGCTGTTATGTGACTGTTCTTACCTACTTTTAATAATACATGTCCAAGCTTAACCAAATCAAAACCCAGTATCAGAAAACTTGATTGAAATTGTAATAACTATATTTCTGACAGTCTTAATATCTGTATAATTGTGGATATGAGCCTTAAATCACATAGTTGGAGGCTTTTAAGGGTTTTGGTTGCAAGTTCAACATGAAGAAATCTTAAAAATGTAATAGCACAGGTACACTGCCTGTGGGACTGACCTTGAGGGGGAAGAGGATGGGGAACCAGGAGAACATCCCAGGTGAATGTGTTTCTGGTTTTATACCTGCCACAAACACACAATAAAACCATTCATATGTAGATCTAATGCCAGCAGTGTGTTATGTACTCTTTACGAAGATAACTTACTAAGAGTGACATCTTTGTACAGCGTGGTCTCAAAGTAACCAGCAAAACCGTGGAGCACTGAGTTACATCCCACTGAGAACCTGAGGCATTGATACCGGTTATTGTTCATTTCTGAAAGAAGAAAGGGAGAGTTGTGAAAACATTCAAAACACTGTGCCGAGGTTTATAAAGTGTTCTCTTTTCTTGGGGTATTATTACAGTTTAGAGTGTTTGTGTCTACCTTTTGTAGGGTGTGTGAAGGTGAAGCAAGGCTTGGGCTCAGCCAGCTGGTGGAAGTTATGGAGGCGCACCACGTACGGCGTCTCAAAATGGCACTCTGGGTCCTTGTCACGTTCCCGACAACCCCGTACTTCGTTGTAAAGCTTGGAGGAGGAGAGGGGAGCCAGGAAGGAGGTGTAGGAACACGGGATGCTCACACCGTCATCTAAGAGTAACATGATGGGACGCAGGAAAATGAAAGTGTTTTGAGATTCAAAGAAGCATGGAGAGTAATGGAGGATGACTGATGCTTTAAACATGTTTGAATTGGTAGGCAAGTGATGATAGCTCTGAATTCAGTCAAACGTTCACACCTCAAATTATTTAGAACTTTATTTTATTTTTATGTATTTTTTCACATTACTGTGTAGGGGAAAGTGATTGCTGCTTTAATATACCAGTTTGGTGTACAAACATAGATTAACTCACAACTTAGAAACTGGCATAAAAATCCTCATGTAAGAGTCAGAGTGCTGCAAATGGCAATAAAAACCTTTTTGAGACAAATAATCCCTGCATGTCACATAATCCCTTACAAATTAATCCTTTGTCATAGAATAGGTTGGTTTAATAGTGTAGCGTTAGTTTGTCGGTACATCTGATTATTGAGTCAGGACAAGCACCAAAGTACCTTTGAGGAAGTGCTGCGCTCCGTCCAAGCACTCGGGGGAGAGTTCATTGTCACCAAAAGATCCCAGCAGCTCGCTGACGATGATGTCGGCTTTTTCAGGTGCAGCCCAATCCCGCATGTCACATGACACAACTGTCACCTGATCGCCCCACTCCTCGAAGCGCCAGTTCTCCAGGCTGATCAAAGACACAATCGCATCAGCATTTACCGTCATTATTTCCAAGGCTCCACTCCACAGATACACAACTCGCATCTCATAACTGATCACATCAGAAGGCTGAAAACTTTCCCAACATCATGATTTTTCCTGGTATGTTTAAATGATAGAACTATACACATTAGTAAATACTGAGCAGTGGATTATTTCCTACATGGGCACAGACATGAGCATAAAGAGTAGTGGTTCACTCACGTGATTACAGCATTGGGATTTTTCTCCACAGCATACACCTTCAGCTTCCTGTCTGCCTGTCTGGCAGCACGCAGCGACGCATTGACCAGTGGACCCCTACCGGCTCCCAACACCATCAACACCCTTTAAGGAAGGGACACGAGTATTTTGAGGATGCTGCAATCACTTCTCCATGACGTATCTTATGGCTGGACTTTTAACACCATAAACTATGTCCTCCCATATGTTACAGAAATGATAAAACACTGACCAGTATTTCCATACTTTACATAAAACTTGGTGTTTTCATTGTCAATATTCAGGCACAGGGCACAGCTACTTACTGAACATTAGTGTCTTTCTGCTCCTCT